GATGTTAGTCTCTTACAGTGTCTAAAATACAACTGCTAGCCCAGAAATGTGATATGAAAATTTATAATGCAGCATCACTAAAAAACATGCTGCACATACATTGTTCTTACTTGTTCATTTCCACACTAAATTTGAAGATCTCAAGTCCAATTCCAGACTGCAACATTCTTAAAAGCTTTCAAGGATTCTGAAACAGGATATACATCTTGCTTGTTGCTAAGCGTACTTAGATGCACTCGCTATCAGCTACAATTTATGCTGTGTTCAAAACTTAAAGTGCGTGCCCAATTGCGTAATGCAAAGTCACTGAAAACTATGGTTATTTTGTAACAAAAATCAGCCTTACTTGTAGCACACACTGACATAGCAAGTAAGTTATATGCATGATGCACAAAAAATCACTGAGTAGCTCTACTGGTCAAAACAAAACATGCAGATTTTTTAAAAATCAGGCAAATCTTCGTGATGTGAGGATTCTGGTATACCTGCAGCTAATTGTCGAGAAGAAATAATTGTTGTTTTCTGTTGACTATGTTTCTTCCAAATATTGCCAGCCATTGATGAAACTTTTCTGAAAAATATTTCAATTTTGCAAGGGAAAGAAGATTTTTATGTACCTCAGTTACAGAATGCATTTCAGATTGTAAATCAGGCACATTTCTATGCAATCATTTTCCTGTGTAAGAACCTTTGGGGGTTACATCATCTCCAATTTCTGGCAATTCATTACGGCCCTCGCTCTATAAAACACTCATTTTTGTTGCAGAAAAATTAAAGTTGAGTACCTTGGAAAAATTATCGACACTTGTCCAGATTTAATGGAGGTCAAGATCTAGCAAATGATACAGAGTTCTGCAGAACGTATGCTGATTGTCCCATAACGCAAAAAAGTCTTTGCTCTTTAGAAAGAACACACCTAAGTTTAATTTCGGAAATAATTCCCAATTTCTGGGTTTCATGAAATTCATGGCAGGTTGCAACTAGAAAATAACTGGATTTTCCAAAAAGATGTGAACCGACTTACACAGGCGTCTTAACTGTAGATTAAGTTTTGGTTAAATTGTCATATTTGAAATTTGGAATGTTCCCAATTGATGGAAACGGTCATTACTGGGTGCTCATTATTTATTAATACTGGATGATATTGACTTGGTAGTGCAGCCTCAACACACTAATATTTTAGGATTACTAAAAAATATGACATTCTTTTGCAGAAAAAAAAAATGAGCTTACACAGTTTGAAATCTACATATCTTCTTATTTAGATGGGTACCGTAATATAGGTTTTCTTTTCATCTTATTTCAACAGCCCTTCAGATGTGTGCAATACAAGAGGTAGACAATAATGTGTCATTCATATGAACGGGATATTCTGAAAAACATCTATTCTTTCCCAACAAAATGCAATTCTCACTTACATGGCTTCATTTTGAACTTGCAAATCCAAAAGAAAATGAGGTTTAGAAGGGCGGTCATTTCTTGCAGAGATGATTTAAGGCCTTTCGCTGCTGTCCTAAATAGTAGATTGAACACTTTGCAAAAGCTTGAATCTGTATTATTCTAATAAAATCCGCTGCTCCAAATGGATTGTTTATTATTGCAAAACCTTGATATACTAAAAAGAATGAAATCTTTCCAAAATTCATGTGTAGTGACTTACAGTACAGGTGACCTCAAAGTGGAGTTGTGCAACATACATGATGATCGAATTATCTTAATTAGAATATTCTGAAAAATAAGAATCTTCCTAGGCCAAAAAAAAAGCCCTGTTCAGTTCTTTCTTCACCTCATAATTCTTTAATGTTGGGTGTGGTTGATTATCATATTTTTTTCTTCAAAATATGATCAATCATGAGACCCTATTCTGAAAAATGTTGCATTCTTTGTTAAGAAAAGTGTGATTCCACTTACATTCAATCGCATATTTAGACAGACAATTTTTCATTTTGTTTTATTGTCTTATACAGTCAAGTGTGTAAACCCGAAACAGCTGATAACATCCGTCCCAGTGTGTATTAAAAAGACAATTTTCTGAAAAGTAGAGCATTCTTCCAAAGAAAATATAGCTTTCACTTGCATAGCTCCACTATTAAAATCAGCTGTAGTTTGTTTTCAACGATGGACGAGGCATTCTGTTGTTGATGGAGTGCCATAAACATATAACTGCACAAGTTTCAAAGTGTATTCTTCTTAGAAAACTTCCAACTTCATATCCATGATTCTCAGCTCATAATTGCAAAAACTTGCATGCATTCTAAAAAGTAGTCAATTTGCCCAAAATATGTGTGTGGTACCTTACAGGTGGCTTCGGAATGAAGATACAGGAGACAGACCTAATTATTTGGACTTTGGGATATTCTGAAAAATAAGAATCTTCCTCGACGAAAAAAAAAAAGTAGAAATTTAGACCTCCCATCGTTGATCCTCTCACAAATCTAGACGTTTCATTTTCATATTTTTGTTTTTTAGGGGACTTTATTCTCATCATAGAAATCAATTGATCAAGAACAATGAACTAAAAAACTATAATTGTTCCAATGGAAAGTGATTTCACTTACATTTGGTGTAGTTTGTTCCATTTTGATGCCTAATACAGTTAGGTATGTAGAACATAAAAGGCCGATGTGGCAGTTTGTTCATCAAGTATGTCTTGTATTAGAACATTCTATAAGAAGTTAAGATGGTTGAAGGCATATTATGTTGCTGTTCTACTTAATGAAGTGAAATCAAACTGCTCAAGTTTAAATGTGTTTTCTTCTAAGATACCTATTCTGCAACTTCATATCCAGGACTTCGCATTATTATTTCAAAAAGTCGATTTTCTAAAAAGTATTCTAATTTTTCCAAAATACAAGTTCAGGGACTTACTGGTGGCCTTAAAATGGAATGTGGGGAATATACGTGATGACCGAATAATCTGATGTTTGGAGAACCCTGGATTATTCTGAAAAATTGGAATCTTTCTTGCAAAACAAAGAAACTTACTGTGTTCCAGCTTGGATCAACTTGCATATCTTGAGGTTTTTCAATATTTTTCGTCTTGTGATTTTGTCTCAGAAGAGATCTACGCGCAAATTGCAATTCTAGTAAATGTTAATTTTCATCCATGTTGATTTATCAAGCAAACATTCTAAAATGACTATAGTTTCTCCAAAGAAAAAATAATTTCGCTTACACAATACAGCAAAAATGTTTTTCTCGTCAAGTTGAAAATGAAAAATACTGAAAAGTAGATATTGCCGTTACATAAAGGCTTTTTCGAATGTTAAGAAATGGCAAATACTTCAAAATGTTTTCTATGTTCATTTTTCTTTTTGCTTGTATCAAAATGCTTCATGCTTCATAGATATTCTACAAAAATAATTAGCCCCAAGAACAGTCTGTAACTTACTTGTCGTATACCACAAGAATTCCGCAAATATGTACTTTTCTTAGAGAAATGACTCAACAAATTCGTAATGGATACTAGTTAGACAAGTTATTGAATTGAATATGATTATGGTTTTTTATCAATACTGTGAGTAAAAATGCTGCAAAATTATGAGTATTCATATGTAGGTGAAGGTCAAAATCTGGAAAATTTCTTCACTTATCTTCATCACGAATCTGGGATTTCTTTCTTCAGCCTTGACACCATCTACATATTCATGTAGGTTTTTTTTTAACGAATCAATTGGCATTTAGATACTATTAGTCTGTAAACATATTGGTGAGTCTTCAGAAAGTCTAAAAATCACTTCGCCACTAAGCCTAAGCTCTCATTACGACAGAAGATATTTATTTCAGGATGTTAATAAATTAAATTACTGAAAATACTTAGTTTGGAATTTTTCTTTCTTCATTCTTCATGTTATTTTAAAAATGGTACGTATTTAAAAGATGAAGATGCAAAATATTTTGCAAAATTTTGAAGCATTACAGTAATATTGTGTAAATAGGCATTAAGAGCCAAAAGTAGGTTAATTTAATTCTTATGAAAAGCTGGAAGAAATGTACGCCATTCAAGTATAAAGAATCAAGACAAAACTACCAATGTTACCTGCTAGGATCAAAGGCTTCTTCCTTCACAAACTCTTCGAGCCCCTCTGGAAATTGGAAAATCAGCAGCCTTTTTTTTCGAAGTTATTCTATTTTGTTTGAATAGGAGTTTGTAAACCGCCAATTTGATAACGGGTAAAAACGTTTAAATATTCCGCTCCGCTTATGTGCAAAAATAGTTTAGTGAATCCGAATATTCGGCTTGATATCTGCCACTACTGGTAACCACAAGATTTTGAAAGAACTTCTGGGCATCACCTAAACCTGACGTTTTCATGGTATTGCCTAAGAGTTGTCAGCTGAACTCTCCAATACCAGTGAGAAACTAAAATGGAAAATTATATGGTTTAACAAAGTGCTGTTGTAATTGCAAAAGTTCCCTGTAAACTTTTGGTTTTTTATAGATACCTTTTAGGTGCAGCAGCTTCCTCCTTTCCCTATCAATGTGATGCCGCAAGTTAAATAAGAAGTTTTTCCGAAAATATTTGGGTGGAAAAGAAGTTCAGGATAAAATCCAATAGATTTTTAATTGCGCTAAATATTCATTGCAAAGTTTATTGTTTGTACTATTATGGTAGGATAGGTTAATACTGCAAAACGCTTCTAGCCCAGCAAAACCTATGAAAATATTAATAATATAGGTCGAAGGCCAAGCTACAATTTTTGGACAGATTTCTAATAATTAGAACTATTTTTGTAGTTTCAAAAATGATTCGAAATTATTAAAAATATTGTCCTTCAAGAAATAAAATTTCCAAATAAGTAAATGTTACTTTGTACCTGTCCAACTAGCAGACTTCTTCCAGAATTTTCATCTGCAGTTTGCTAATTTGTTTTTTTATTCTTAAGTGCTTGATTTTATGGATTAAGGGTATACGGACTTTAACATGTTGGACAACTTCCACAGCTATATATCTGTGTATTTTCTTTCAATTTAAATTTGTTCAACTGCAACTGAGGCAATGAACGATTACATTCACTTCTATGCATGTGATCAGCGTCAACCATTCAGATTGGATTTGGAAAAGCGTCCAAGACAGCTTTCCTCTTTAGAGTTATTGAGGAGGGTATTGGCCAAGCTGTCGACTGAACTTGTCAATACCGCACTACGGAAACCTATGAAACATATTTTTCATGATGATAAAAGGAAAATGTCAAGAGTTACTTTTTTTTCAACTAATAATGAATTTTGATGTCCAATTTTATAAGAAAATTTAAACCAAAGTTGGGTAATTATTTCAATTGATGCTTCTCTGGCCCTTGATTAGTTCAAATTAATGTATAAAACTGGACATGTTGGAAACTCAATGTTGCAATAGTTGTGGCCAGCAATTACTGCAATTTTAATAAAATTATATAATTTGGTCTCTGCAACAAAAATACAGAAATTTTTGTATAAATCATAAGCCAATCAAGAGTAGCTTAAAAACTAATTAATTGCCATCTGGTTTGTGACATGTACAGAAACTTCAAATTTAGAACAAAGAATTTGAAGGTAAATATGAAACTGGTTCGACAAAAAATTGATTAGAACTTTCTATCCTTTTTCTTGGGCATAAAGGTTGGATATTAAATGAGGTAGAGTTGAAGAAGGAAGCAAAATAAAAGTAACCTTCTAAAGAAAAGAAAGTGCATAGTCAATGAATTACATAAAATTTTTGAAAAAATTCAATTCAGGAAAAATGTTCATAATAATGTTTATAATAAGACAAACAACTTTCCTAAAATAAATAAGGATTATATTATGTCTATTCACACAGAAATCACAAACCAGTCAGAGTGAATTTCATTGGTTGGAACTAGTTTTCAGACTGTTTTCATCCAATAAAATTCGGTCTGACTGGTTTGTGATTGCTGTACCAACAGGCCAAATATTGCAGTCCCAAATCAAACATTTTAAAAAAATATGCATTAAACTCCCAACAATAAATTCATTACAGTTGCAAGGAAAAATTTCAAACTCATACCTACCAAAGAGAACCAAAACATAATACAAAAATTACCATTTATTGTTGCCACCGTGTGCCTCCTCATGCCATCACCTGTTGCCGCAGGTGATCCAATAATTAGGCAGTCGAACCCTGGTTTCAAACTCAGAAGATACGAATTACAGTTCTTTATCAACATGATGTTGCAAGGCAAGGAAGCAGATTCAGATTGTGTCCACCTTCTTGATTACATGTAAATTTAAAACAAATTAATACAATGGGAATTTTAAGGATGTCATTAACAAACAAGTTTTTTTTTTAAAAACAATTTACTTTTTTAAGTTTATTTATTACTAATATCACTTGTTTTTTTTTTGTAAATATTCAATATTACTTACACCTAGACTTATTATCTAAAAAATTGATACAATTTACAAACCAAACTAGGAGTTTTCGCCCCTGGCTGCCTGGTTGTTTTGGAATCAGCTCTGTAATAGAAAAATAAACATAATACATATCACAGGATCGAAAATAATAAAATTAGTTACAGCCTTGGGATAATAAAATTACAATAATTTATCAACTTTCTACAGCAACAGATTTAGTACACCTCTTCAATTGATCCATGAAACTATCAATACCAGCATTAATTTCTTCATAAATCTTCGGGTCAAAATTTTGGGACAATTTATCACAGCTATTAATTGCACATTGAGACATTAAATTTTGCCATTTGAGTCTTCTCTCCTGTTGTTTTTGTCCTAGTTCGGTCTGGGCCCGGACAAGGGCGTTCGACAAAACAGCTTCCATGAAGAGATTTTTTCGTCTTTGATATTTAACTTTAGCTTTTTTATTTTTAATTTTGGTAATCCAACTAGCCAAATCGGAGGTTTTATTCGCTCGTGTTGGTAGTGGCTGATGCATGGGCACGCCCATGATCGATTGATTTAATTTAACAAGACAAAAACGACAAAATGATAAAATCTCTCCAATAAAATAACGTTTTTTATATAGAAAAACACACCTGGATAAGTTTCTTTTGCGGTTCTGGATCAAATTTGGGCAGCAGCTGGAACTTGGAACACAAAATGGCGGAAATTCAGCCAACGCACTGACATTAACTCCTACTGCAACTGAATTTCGACTGAATGACGAATTCGGGGTGCGGTCTGCTTTTATAGGCAGCTAGGTGGCGGACCCGATATTCCTACGCGCTCCGCGACAAATAGATCCACATTTAAGATTTGTTTTCTAGCTTAGAAAAAGGAATTTTTGCAATTTTTTTATATGGATGAGCTTATTTTTTGATGTTTTATTAGGAAAAATGGTAAATTTTTGATTTTTATCTGAAATTAATTAGATAAAAACAAGAAGAACGGTTGGCGACATCAAAAGTAAGCAGTGTTGCCAAATTGTTATTTTATTGATCTTGGCAATGGAACAATAGGGAATATTCTATGAGAAATGGAATATCGCCAGTGGTAGATGAAATTGAAAAGATTTTTTGAAAAATGCTTGACGATTGAAAAATTGAACCCTATGCTGGAACAACGTTTCAAACGCCAAATATACCAAACAAGCGCGAAACTAGGGCGGTTGCAATTAAAACGTTATTGGACAAAAAGGACATACTGGGCCAATTGAAATGGCATCAACACTTCATTAAAAAAAAATCATATTAAGTTGGCGAATTATCCAGGGTACAATACAACGTTATTCCATGAAAATACCGTTTTTACACATTGTCGTTTACAACGTTGTTCCAGTATAGGGTTCAATTATAAAGCCAGGGTGAACTTTCACCTTTTGGTCCCCTTCGAATTTCTATTTCAAAATTTTTTATTCTAATCTCTTAAGTTTTTGATCGATATTGAGACTTAACATTATCGGGGATTGTAGGTAGGTAGGTACCCAGACATCATGAGATATAGCACACAAAGTCTTAAAGACATCTTTCTTGTACACTGCTTCAGAACAATTTGTAAACTTCAGAATCATTTCAGAATGCTCCAAAAACCGAATAACAATTTCCAAAAGCATATTAATTATAACAATTAAATCTAAAACAGTTCAAATTAAAATCAGAATTTTCAGGAGCATTTTGGTGTAATTTAAACACTTCACTGTTATTTCAGAACAATTATAAGATTTAATTTAGAACCCAAAACCTTTTTAGAAGTCTTTTATTGAACCAATTTAGAACATTTTGGAGCTTCATAATAGGGCTCTAAAAATACTTGAAAATCTGTCAGAACAATTTAAAAATTAGAAAAATCAAAAAGCAGACTTAGCTTGAGTCTATATTCAGGTATCTTTTATTGAAAATTAAAACGTCCAACACTGGCGGAAACCTTCTTTTAGGTAGGGTCTTCAAAAATAAAAATACGCAAACGAATTCATGCAATCAATGAATGACGAAAAAAATTCTACGTTTTCCAATCGTTTGTTTCTGCGTTTTAATTATAATATTCATTATTAGAAAAATAATTAATCTGTTCTTGTTTTAAAGTCATTCACATACCTAGGTATAATAATGAATAATGTAGGTATATGTACCTGAAATTAAAATGAAATGAAAAATAGGTACTTAGGTATTTATCCATAAGAAGGAGGGTAGTGCAAATGGTGGTAGAGATATAATCTGGATATAACAATATTTAGCATTTCATTTTGTTACTTTCACTTTCAATTGGATATTTTTTCCTGGAATTGATTTATAAAACAATGTCTAGATGAAGTTAATTGTAAAATTCGCATCTGTTTAATGTAAATTTTGGTTTAATGATAGAGAGCAAAGACCTTGGTATAGATTAGTAGATAGATAATGATGAGATAAAAGGGAAAGATCAAAGATCATTGATAAATTTACTGCGTACTGACCTAATGCGGACTAATGAGAAGGCATTAGATTCTTAAAAATAAGTCAACTAGAGTAACCTCAATGAGATTACCTGTACTTTCTTTTCTTTTTGAAATACCTACTCAAATAGCCAGCCATTCAATAGTATCTTAATCCCAAGAAATGCAGTTGATTCTTGATGTCTTTTTAATATGGGGTTCTCAGTGGACCAAGTTTCAGGTAAAATTCAAAGTGATATTTAATAATAATAATAATAATAAAATGTCTTTATTTATGCAGATAATACCTAATTATAAAACAAAACAATTTTAAGCAGGAGGCGGTATCCAACAGGGTTGCTCATATACAACCTCCTAAAAAATGAGCAATACATAAAAATAAAAATAAAAATAAATATAAATATAAATATAAATATAAATATAAATATAAATATAAATATAAATATAAATATAAATATAAATATAAATATAAATATAAATATAAATATAAATATAAATATAAATATAAATATAAATATAAATATAAATATAAATATAAATATAAATATAAACATAAATATAAATATAAATATAAATATAAATATAAACATAAATACAAATATAAACATAAATATAAATATAAATATAAATATAAATATAAAAATAGAAATAGAAATTGAAATTGAAATTGAAATTGAAATTGAAATTGAAATTGAAATTGAAATTGAAATAAAAATAAAAATAAAATCATCTATGTTCAATTCAATATTCGGTCCCTTCTGTCCATTAAATGTTGTTTGATTTTTGTCCTGAACGAAACAAGACTTGTTATGGCTCTAAGGTGAGGGGGGAGGCTGTTGTAAAGCCTAACGGCATTATAGGTGAAGCAGCGCTGAAACAATGCTGTAGCATGAGTGGGAACACTAAACAACCCTCTGTGGCGAGTATTAAGCGAATGAATATCCGAGTTACGGACTAGTTTACTTAACAAGTAATCAGGCCGTTCACATAAAACAGTTTTATGAGTAAGAGTCAAAAGATGTAACTGGAAACGTTCCTCAAGATTAAGCCAATGAGAGCGATTGAAGTAGTCAGATATGTGATCATATTTACGAATTTTGAAGGAAAAACGCAAGCATGCGTTTTGAAGCCGTTGTAAGCTAGCTTTATCTCTTTGTAATAAAGCAGGCCAATAGGCTGAAATACAGTAAGATATATTTGAGAGTATTAAGGAGTCAGTGAGTCTCAGTTTAATGGATGTATCCAGGATGTCCCCATTCATGTAGAGAGTACGAAGTTTACAAAAAGATTTTTTTATCAGAGATGATACATGACTCTCAAAGCGCAAACCATCATCAATAAAAAGTCCGAGGTTCTTGCAAGAGTCGACTGGTTTCAATATACTATCACTTAGAAAAATATTTAAATTTTCAAGAGTTTTTATCAGAGATTTATCCTTACCAAAAACCACTAGCTGCGTTTTCTTCTCATTAAGCAATAAACCGTGATAGCCTGAAATAGCACTAAGCAGTTTCAAGTCACAATTTAGTTTATTGTAAGCTGCATGTATTTCCGAATATTTGAAAGACAGATATATTTGCGTGTCATCCGCATACTGATGGGAGGAACAATGTTTCAGCATTCCGCTAAAATCAGCAGTGTAGAGAGAGAACATGAGTGGCCCAACTATACTACCCTGTGCAACTCCCTTGCTCAATGTCAAATAATTAGAATACTGGCCATCAAAGTAAACTCTCTGACGTCTATCCTTAAAATAGCATTTAAAAAATTCAAGTGTATCATTCGCCACACCAAAGTATTTTAATTTTGTAAAAAGCAAATCGTGATCCAAAGTATCAAATGCTTTGCTGTAGTCGATTAAAATTAAGCAAGTGTTTTGTCCCTTATCTTGGGCACGAAAAAGATCATCAGTAATTTTTAAAAGAGCCGTATTTGTGCTATGGTCAGTTCTGTATGCCGATTGCGTCTGGGGTAAAATGCTAAATGAGTTGATAAAATCTCCGAGTTGTTTATTGATAATTTTTTCCAGTATCTTTGACATAGTCGGAAGGATACTAATAGGCCGAAACTGACCTATTTCAATTGGTTTGGTTACTTTGGGAATTGGAACAACAATCGCATTTTTCCAGCATTCAGGAAATGTGTTTGTGGACAAACACTGGTTGATCAAATAAGTTAAGTGAGGTAAGAGTTGGGGAGTAACATATGATATCATTCTTATATCTATACCGTCAGAACCAATTGCATTGGACTTCAGGCCACTGATAACCTTTTCAACCTGGGTTTCATCCACATTTATGAATGAAAAAGAATCAGTATCAGAGAGAGTATTATATCTTCTATTATTGTAGTGTTCGTTTACAAAAGTTTCATTGTTTAGGGATACACTTGATGAGCCAGTATAAAAATAATCATTGAAATCTTTAGGCTTTCCAATATCTGAAAAGCGCACACTCTCTGATAATCCAGAATGTATGTTTAAATATTTTAATACACGCCAGAAGTTTTTAGGATTGGTCCGAAATGAATGCTGAAGAAAGGCCTTTTTTTCTGATTTGACAGCCATGTTTACAACATTTCTCATCTCCTTATATTCCCTCCAGGCATGCTGCGTTTTATATTTTTTATACTTAG